AGAAACCCTCAGTTTTCTAATGTAAAGACTTGGAGGTTGACTTGACTCCGTCTAGCTTAAGCTGTGGTTAGGTGCTGTTAACATGCATAGAAAAATCCATATTCCTCGCTAGGCCTTCCTCTAATCGTCATCAGACAATGACAGCAAGAACAGAACATACATAAATATACTCTCTTTTTTGAAAAAGAGGTTAAACCCTCGGTCTCTGCATCAATCGATGCATACGGCCAGACATAAATATACTACACACACAAATAAAAAGGACAGGAAATATTCCTCACTAGCTCTCTTCTTAGTTGAGAATGATCGATCGATCCATCGATCGGCGGAGAGAGAGATGTGCGGATCATTTGATGCGTGGTTGAGAATGATCGACGGAGAGAGAGAGAGAGAGAGATGGGTGGGTAATTTGATGCTTGTTTGAGAGGAGGTGGTGTACCTGAGGAGAGGGTGGTGATGGGGAGGCCGCAGCGTGAGTCGTGGAGCAGCAGCTCCCGGACGCAGAACCCGTACCGCCGGAAGAATCCTTCCTCGCCGCCGGGGTCGGAGCAGGAGCGGCGGCGGAGCCCGGTGAGAAAGATCCTGGCCTCCTGCCTCGTGGCCGGGTCGTGGAGGCGGGACAACAGCTCCCTCAGCTCACCGTAGGCCGTGTCGCCCGACGCCGCGCACCGCTCGAGGAACGCCGCCTCCAGCTCCGACGGCGACGTGGAGTCATCCTGCACGGCGGCGGCGACGCTGCCCATGGCGATCAGAGCTCACCGATCGCGGGAAGGAAGAAGAAGGGATTAGCTGTTGGCGTATGTGTGGCTGGCTCTGTAGCTAGTTGGTGTGTGAACTGATGATATATATGGTGTGGTGATCGCTCGCTGGCTCGATGCGATCGACTAATTAATTAAAACTGCGAAAGAGGAAAGATCACTGTCCAAATCAATCGAGATCAACGCACACCAACTGATCATTCACATGCATGTGGCTGGAGATGCATGCACATTATCGATCATTGACATGCACTATGGGAATTGGAATTGTGATGCCTCTACGTCCGCACGTCAAATTGTATATATATTCAATTCATCATCTAGTCAATCTGCTACTCCCTCCGATCCAAAATAAGTGCATCAACCTTCATATAACTTTGTAAGAGCGTTTTTGCAGTTCATTTACATTAGGAACATAAGTACTTATTTCTATAAATGATGAATTTTATTGACTCAAAATGAAGCATTAAGGGATACAAACATAAAATACGTCTTTGTTACTGAGGGAGTCGTAGGTATCATGCATCTATTCTTTTAGGACCATGAGTAAATCATGCATCTTTCATGGCACCAAGGGCCGTCAAGGAACCTGCGCTGCAACTGCATCTAGATCAGTGTTGGCTTTAATTTAATTCCTTGTGCATGCACAAGTGGGTCGATCGACCTGGCTGCTAGATCTTGTATTCGTTAGTGGTGCACCTTTTACTTGTTTAACATGCATGTCCACTTCATTAACTAGTGTCATGCATGACTCATGATACATGAGTCGTCTAAGTAATCGAATTAACAAACTAATACGTCAAGGTGCAGCAGGGGTGAAGGTAATTACTGATGCGAGCTTGCTTCTGAGTTTTTTATTTACAAAATAAGGACCATGCATCTCGGCCCCGATTTTCGTTGACGAAAACCGATAAAACAAACAACAATGCAACTGCCTTTTTAGGCCCTTTTGTTTGTTCATTTTCATGCCTAGTACTCCCTCCCTCCGTTTCAGAATATAAGGTGTATTAATTTTCATGCAAGTCAACCATTTGAATGTTTGACCGGGATTATATAATAAAATAACAACACCTACTATATACCTAATAAATAAAATATGAAAATAACTTCATGATGGACCAAATAATGTAAATTTTATATTGTGAGTATTAATATATTTTTCTAAAAACTGTGTTAAACATGCACTCGTTTGACTTTTGAAAAAACAAATGCACCTTATATAAAGAAATGGAGGGAGTATGAGTTATGAACTTATTAATCCATACAATATCATAGTTTGCTGGAAAAAAGTTGTTGAGTAGGTAAATGTAGGCATCCCCAGTTGCAACTTGCCGGTATTTTATCTCTCACACTGATGCATGATTGATCATCTAGCCCATTATCTTGGGCTCCTTCATCATGTATTAATAGTTAAGGAACCAAGTGGATCATTGTCGAATTATGTTAGCATGCAACTTGCGTATATCCTGCTTCCTTTGTTGGATCCTACAAGTGCAAAGACAAGAATTTCGGCCTAATTTATACAACATTTTTGCAAGGCAGAGCACTTGCTTCGTTCTAAAATAGATGATGATTTGGACTATTCTTCCGCCTTTTACTAAAGAATACAATATGCATGCCAAGATGTCTGATTTTTATTTGAAGGGCACTCCTCCTTAAGTTTAATCTTTTTTGTTGAAATGCAAATTTTATCTTGATTAATGCTGTCAATTTTCCTATGATTCGTATTGCTTTAACGAGTCGTTTTTTGTCAATCGTTTTCTCTTCTTGTTTTTTTAACTAACCTGATTGTGTTCTCTTGGTTTTGGGTATGTGTTGGGTCATGAAATTATGAGTCCAAAAGTATACTTCTCTAGAAAGTACGAGTTGAATAAATATCGAATTAACCTTAGTAGAGCATTATGAAGACATGAGAATCTGCCTCCCATATTGGCTGCTATCATAGTGTAGTACTTCACCTTACCTAGACAGTATGATGTAAGCTTAAAGCCACAACCTTGGTCAAAATATGTGCACATGTTCCACAAATAGGGTTCTATATGGAGTATATACTCTTGAAAAAAATTGACTCTTAGAACTATGCTTCCAACTCAAGGCAAAGTGGCCAATCCGAGGCAAAGGAGGAATGGAAGATGAAGGGCGGAAAAAATATGCCTCAGATTTCTAAGTTGGCACTTGAACTTCTGATCCTCTATGTTAGAAGGGAGAGAGGGATTTGGGATTTGGTGGAATCGTTGTTGTATTGCTTGAGCCTCGTGGGCATATATATAGTGAGTACATGATCTGCTTGAAGTACAAGGGAAGGTAGAATAATATCCTACACTATCCTAGCTTTCCTAATAATCACGATACTTAATATCCCCCCGCAGTAACAATGTTAGCGACGCAGACGGTGAGACTGGAAAAGAATCCGAAGGCAAGCCAACGGACACCCCCCACAGTCGTAACGGGCGATGCATCACGGAAGTTATGGCTAGAGTGGCAACCGACGAGGTTGCTCAAGCAAGGTAGCCCTTTGTGCCATTTGTCGAGGTAGCCGAGAGCGTAGGGTGGTGTAGCAGTGGTTGAGGTAGCCGTGCGAGGGACTCCGTGGTCGATGTCGAGTCGGGGTGGCCGGTGTCGAGTTAGTCGTCGTGGACCGGGAAAAAGAGTGGCGGCGGCGACCTAAGGAGGCGACAGCGGTGGCTAGGTCAGAAGCGCGACGACGGTGCTCGAAGTAGGCGAGGAAGAACCTCATAGCGTGACGAAGACCGGCGCGGTCGGTGGCGTTCCCGTGCCTAGGAGGGTGGCGGGGTGCATACCACACAGAGGTCAACGCGCGTGGACAGCGAAGTGGACCGCATGCCGCGCCGCTACGGCCCGAAGGGGCGATGCAGCGGCAGCGCGCAGGTCGGGGCGACGGCGGGGAAGACCTCAGGGCGGCAAGGACCGCGTGCCACGCTCGCTATGATCCGATGGGGCGACGCAGCGGCAACGCGAGGGTCGGTGCAGCCACGGGGATGGCCTGGAGAGGACGGCCTCGGGGTAGCGGTCGACCGTGGGCCGCGACAGTACGGCCCGAAGGGCGACGCAGCGGCATCGCGCGGGTCAGTGCAGCCGCGAAGAAACCACGGGACGGCAGCAGGGGCTGCGTGCCACGCTCGCTACGGCCCGACGGGGCGACGAAGCGGAGGCGCGAGGGTCGATGCAGCCACAGAGACAACTGAAACAGACGACCTCAGGATGGCGTGGACCGCGGACCGCGGCACTACGACCCTAAGGGCGACGCATCGATAGCGCGCGGGTTGATGCAGTCGCTGGGAAAATCATGAAACGGACGATGCAGCTGCACCCTGTTGCTCGATCGGAAGCACATACTCAGAGACGGACGATGAGATATCTGCAAGACGAACTGTGGCGGGCGACGCAGGCTGATCTTAGATCGGAAAACCAAAAAAGAACATCGAGATCGGCGAAAGAGAAAACCTTAATCAACGGATCGAGAAAAAGACTCTCTAGGGCAGCCGATCAACACGACCGACGAGCGAACCCTAGGTACGGGCGGCGCGGCCCCCGGTGGCGAGCATCGAGATCAACCGCCCTATGGCGGCGCGGTGTGGAAGTGGCGGTCGACGGCTAGGATTTGGATCAGTTAGGCTGATACCATGTTAAAAGGGAGAGAGGGATTTGGTGAAATCGTTGTTGTATTGCTTGAGCCTCGTGGGCGTATATATAGTGAGTACATGAGCTGCTTAGAGTATACAAGAGAAGGTAGAATAATATCCTACACTATCGTAACTTTCCTAATAATCACGATACTCAACAATTTAGAATGTTTCTTTGCTTTTTTTTTCACCTTTTCCTCAACCACCTATGTCCATATATAGACCAAATTAATGATTTCAAGGCCTCTCTATTCTGCTTCTACATATCACCCACATCTCGGTGGTTAAGAGGCAGCTAGAACTATAAGATCCTACCAAATACACGTTTCTATACTTAAAGCAATGCGGTTTTGCTACAATTTTAATGATTAAATCACTTCAATTAAAATGCAGTCATAGGAAAATGGGAAGAATGAACACACTATAAATTAATGAAATATGACCAATACATGACAATTAAACTAACTCAGAGCAAAGAGGCACTATCTATTACATATTTTGTCCCCTTTATTGAAATCATAGTATTTTGAAACCACAACCACATCATGTTCCAACAACATTCATCTTTAATGCACACAAATTACCATATAGTTATTTGTCAACCAAATGTCTTCATAAGCCCCATGACCTTCTTCACAGTAGGCCGATCCATTACGCCAGCAATCCATGCTTTCACATGTGGATATGAATCAAGCACCGCCGCATAGGGAGTTTCATGCAATAGGTGAACCATTGGGAAATGACTAATGTCCGCTAAGCTAATGAAATCTCCTGCCAAGTACTTGTACTTGGACAAGCGTTCCTCATAGACTTCCATGATTTCCTTCAGTTTCTCTAGGTTTTCTTCAAGAACTTTGAGATCGCTAGTCCCACCCATGTAAACCGGGATGACGAGACCTTGAAAGATGATTGGCAGCATGACGCTGTCAAATTTCTGGGATTCGACGTCAAGCCACACATCAACCATTGCGGACTCAGAGAGGTTGTTTTCCCTCAGTAAATCTGATGATCCTTTCCGGAGTATATACTTTGAGATTGCACGTGATTCTGTCAGAAATCAACTAGTTATACATGCAAACAATTCAACTAGTTACAGAGATCTGATTTTCTAAAAACATTATATGAATTCACGTTCTTATTTTTTTTGCATCAAGGGCCAAAAAAATTTAATTACCACATAGCCAATCCTTTGCAATGCAAGGCATTTCTTATCTTTTTTTTTTCAAAACATAGCACATTTGGAATAATTCAGTGGCACAATACGGGGCCTTCCCCCTTTCACTCAAGATGTTCTAGTTATTTGAAGTATTATCTTATCTTTATATAAAAAAGAATAAAAATATCAAGCAATATAACTAGGAAAAATTCCTGAAGTATATACTAGCCTAGTGACCTGGAGGATGTGCTTAACTAGTTGAAAAAGGAGACATGACTTTGGCATTTTACAACCTACCATCATCTGATAAAATAGCTATCTTGATTGAGACATCAACCACGGTGCTAACCAATAGTAAATGATAGTGTATATCATATTATAACTACAACATCACACAAATTAAGCAAGCAAGCTACTCACCAAAGAGGACCAGGTCTCCATCCTGGAACGCGGGGACCTGGCCGAAGGGCTGTGAACAACAGAGATAAGGAAAAGAAATCCTTATCAGCTTTCGCGAAGTGTTGAGTCATGTAATTAACTTGATGCATCTAATTAGCCTTACAACAACACAACTATATAATCAAAGAGGCAAGAAGATAGATACATAGCGTGTATGTAATCAAAGAGGGACATGACGACAACATACATTACGAGCAAGATGTGGCAGCCTCTTGTGCTCGCCGGTGTGTAGGTCGACGGCCACGACCTCATACTCAGCTCCCACTTCCTCTAGGCATGCCAGAACGCGCGCCACGCTTCCGTTCATGGGCAGCCCGTACACCTTCACCGGAGCCATTATTTTCTTACTTACTAGTATCAGTTGTGATGTTGTGGAGCCAAGACGAAGGACAAGGAGATCCTTGGGAATGATGGATTTTGTGGTGTACATACTTGACCCAAAGGCCAAAGGTGTGCTTTTTATAGATAACTAGTGGTCAACCCATTGCATGCAGTTCGAAGCATACCATCTGGTTTTGACATTACCTAGCAACGAAGTAATGCACAGGTAGCACCGGTCAATTGTCACACTTACTTGGCAATGAAGCACAATTAATTAATAGTACGATCGAGGCTACCGGATGTGAGAGAGCAGTTGACAACTTAATTGCCACCTAGCTTGCCCTGTCGAGTGGACAATGAATCTGGCATATACTAGATTATAATAAACTGACAGTTTTTGCAGTGACTGAAAGTTTACCTTATTCATGAAGAAATGAAAAGTGACTCGCAAAAAAAGAAGAAGAAGAAGAAGAAGAAATGAAAAGTGACACCTCCAAGCTACTGAACCGTTAATTAGTTGATACTCCACATGTGTTTAATTTCGTCAGACTTTTTCAACAACAAAGGTACATCAATCTGAGAATGGATGCACCCAATGGCATAAGATTTTGTGTCTCATCTTGCCTTGTATGAAGAGTGAGCTCGTAGTTAAGAATAATCTGTTTGGGATGTTCTTTGAATTTGAATTTGATCTTGCTAAAAAAAACATATATGCAGCACCCTAGATTTGAATTAAGATACTAAGCTCCCTAGATTTGAAGCCTCCTGGTGCGTTGAGGGCTATGGGGTCGTTGGGGCCTTAAATTTTCTAAGTTAAATTTAAATTTCAAACATATTTTGAAATATATGAATATTTTTTTAAAAATCATGGTTTTCTTAATTAACAAAGTTTCAAAAATCTTTTTTTCTAAAATCCATGAATATCTTTTGGTTTCAGCGAACCTTTAAAAAAAATAAAAAAGGTAGCTGGCTTATTATAAGCCAGCAGTGGAGCAAGCGAGTGGAGCCGGGAGTCAAGCTAATGAACGAGAGCTTCGTGTCCCAACCCATGTGAACGTTGTAGCATCTAATCCCTGGTTTCACTGTGGAAATAAGAACTCCCGAGGCGATATATAAAAAAGGAGCTCCCAAGTGGCTCGCACAACAACCACCGGTTGACGCCGAGGCGAAACATGTAAGGACACCACAGTCATACATCAAACGACTTCACTCTTTTTTCAGAACAAATATCATCTCTAATGACAGCCCATCATGGATTCATGGTATACAAATGAAAAAAACACCGCCAGAACATAATTAAAACCTAAGCCAACACAGATAAAATGAGAAGAAAAAACCGACTACAATAACCTGCTAGAGAAAATGGCATTCCACCAGTGAAGAGAACGGTGCGTTAGCCTCTAGTTACCATTAATATGCTAAAGAAACCAGCACACTAAGTGAGGCCCAACTATTTGGTGGCCTGCCCAGCCCATAAGCATTCTCCACCCAATCTGGGTCATGGAATGTTACCCCAATAGCAATTTCCTTCAAGCTTCCCTGCCCAAAAATTGGATTTCAAGCTCTGTCAGCATGTTAAATATTTTCAATGAAGTCAAATGAGGAGGATATTTATGTGGATGGTCAAACCAAATATCCAAACCATGCCCTTTTTAGTTTCTTAAAGAAAACTGGTAGAAATACTATTTGGAGTGTGTTGTACCTAAACACCAAAGGAAATGGACAGAACATGCAAAACCAACGCCTTTCTGTTTGCGATGAAGGCGAAAACTTTATTGAGTAAGAAACATGAAAAGAAACCCTAGAAATTAGGGCTTATAATGATTATTTGCGGGGACTTGTCTAATCTGCTTATACATTTTACAATACTTCCACACAAAGTTTGCACTGGTTTATGAAAGACCCTTCACAGAAGATGAATAAATCTAAAAAGGAATATTAATATATTAATCACTACTAAAAATCACAAAAGGAACCCAGAATGTTAGTTATGTATAGCATTTGGATCTTTATAGAAAAGACAAAAATGTATACTCAGAAAAATTATGTATACTCTAACCTATGCAACATCAACGGTGAACTATCATACACCAGTTGGCAATATAAAAATGTGTTGTGTAAAATGGAAAAACATTACCTAAAATATGTTTCATTTTCGTCAATTTAGTTAATAATATGTTCAAAAATACTTTAAGGAAATATAAATATTATGAAAATTGAAAACAATAATTGTGAAATGTTCATCATCAATTTACTTTTCAATCTTTCATTTTAAATTTTATTTCATTAAAATTTAATATTTTTATTTTTCAAATTCATGAGTTTTTTCAGTACTCCCAGTTTCACTGTATTCAACATTTTTTTTAAATACAAGTTAAATACTTTTCACGAACAATGAACATGTTTAGAGTAAATGGTGAATATATTTTAAATAGATATTAAACAATTTTTCAGATACACGCTAAACATTTTCCGAACAAATGTTAAACATGTTTCTATACACGTTGAACATTTGATGGATGCACGCTGATTTTTTAATACATGTTGAATAAGTTGTATATAAATAGTAATCATTTTATAAATGCATTGTGAACATTTTTAATACATGGTGAACAATTTTATATGTCACAAACATTATTAAAAAATGCTAGAACAGAACATTTATTATTAATTTAGTGAACGGAGTTTTCAACGGGTGACTATTGGTTTTGAAATTGAGAAAAACTTGTTTACACTGCTTTAACTTTTTTAAATATGCGACGCATATTTTATATATTTAAATAAATTCAATTTACTTAACTTTAAAATATACACTTTAAAATATTTAAAATGTAAAATGAATCGTAAAAAGAAAAAAGAAAAAAATAACATTCATATGTAACTAGCTCATGATTATGTGACTCTTGCGCGCGTCATGTCACTGGTAGAAAAAGGACCTGTAGTCCCGGTTCGTAAGGGCCTTTTGTCCCGGTTCTGGAACCGGGACTAAAGGGTCGGTACTAATTCCCTGTCCCTTTAGTCCCGGTTCAATCCAGAACCGGGACAGATGGGCCTCCACGTGGGCAGTGCGCGGAGCCCAGGCAGGAGACCCTTTGGAACGAAGCTCTCCAAAGTTATTTTGGAATGGAGTCCTAGATAGGATAATTCGCTTTTTGATACAAATTTCAGCAAGAACCTTCCAAATATCGTTATTTGGAAGGCCTTTGCTGAAATTCATACAAAAAGGCAAATTATCCTATCTGGGACACCATTCCAAAATAACTTTGGAGGACTTCGTCATGCCCTGGTTACTTCCGGCTAATGATGAAGCCATGAATTTCTTCAATACTTTGACACTAGGAAACCTCTCTCGACCCCTCGGCGATCCTCGACCCCTCGAACCCTCGACGACCCTGGAACCCTCGACCCCTAGACGACCCTGAAATAAAAAGAGGAGAAGAAGAAAGGAATATCTAGAGGAGAAGATCGAAGAAAAAAAAAGAAGAAGAAAAAAAAGAGAAGAAGAAGAAAGGAATAGAGGAGAAGAAGAGAAAATATTCTATTTTCTCTTCTTCTCCTCTATTCCTTAGTTTTTCTTCGATCTTCTCCTCTAGATATTCCTTTCTTCTTCTCCTCTTCTTCTTTTTTCTTTTTCTTATTTATTTTTCCCCTTCTTCCTCTCCTCTTCTTCTCCTTTCTTCCTCTTCTTATTTTCCTTTTTCCTCTCCTTCTTTTTCTTCTTCTTCCTTCTTTCTAGCTAGATATATAAATTTTTTCTAAAAATGTAACTTCTGCATATATACATGGAAAAAATTGTTATCGGGGAGGGAGCATATCAACCCCCCCCCCCTCGACCCTCTTTTACTTCTTCTTCCTTCTTCCTTCTTCCTCTTTTCTTCTCCAACACAAAACACATCTCATCTCATCTCATTTCATCCAAAAAAAATTCTTTGCATATGAACATACATACATTTACTTTTTTTCTTAAATGTTACATATGAACATTTTCTTAAATGAGCATATGAACATTGTTTTAAATATTAATGAGCATATGCACATACATATCAACAAAAAAATAGACCTTTTTCTTGGTAACAGAAAAAAAATGCAAAAACGAGCATTATATATACAGCATATACAGAGCATTATACAGTGAACATACATACATACATACATACATACATACAGTGAGCATATACATGAGCATTATACGGCGACGGCGACGGCGACGATGGTTGGCGGTGGCGCGCGCTTACGGATGACGTGCGGGAACGGCAATGAGAAGGAAAAGGGGAGGAGGCAGGGGCTCACAGCGCGGGAAGGGGTCGAGGTCGCCGGCCGGAATCGGTGCGGGCGACGATGACGGCGTTGGCGGGGGCGGCGGACGGCTTCGGGGCAGCCTGGCGGCGACGGGGCAGGGGCGACGACGGGGGCGCGCGGACGGCGTCTGGGCGGCGGGCGGCGTCGGGGTAGCGGATCGGCGTCGATCTGGGCAGCCTGGCGGCGTCGATGAGCTTAGCATCGTCGGGCGGGCCGGGGGGCAACTGGCGATGAGTTCGTCAAATTTTCCCAAGTGCTACTTATATACCCAGGCCTTTGGTCCCGGTTCGTGGCACAAACCGGGACTAAAGGGGGCATTGGTCTCGGTTGGTGGCACCAACCGGGACCATAGGTCTCTTTTCAGCAGCCGAAAGGGCGGGAAGTAGACCGTGACCAATGCCCCCTTTAGTCCCGGTTGGTGCCACCAACCGGGACCAATGGCCTTTGCTGCCCCGCGCCCAAAAGTTTAGTCCCACCTCGCTAGTTGAGAGGGCTCGGGAGTGGTTTATAAGCGCTGCTACGCCCACCCTCCCGAGCTCCTCTCAACTGCAGGCTTTCGGGCCTAATCTGTCACTTCAATGCCTGTGGGCCTACTGGGCCTGCTGCGGGCCTGAATCCTGGCCCATGGTAGGGTTTCTAGTCGTATTCAGGCCGTGGTGGCCCAGTAGGTGGCATTTTTTGTTTTTTTGTTGCTTTATTTATTTTCTTTTGTTTTTTGCTTTATTTTTTAATTCTTTATGCTTTTAGTTTTAGAAAAATTATAAACTTTTTGTTAATGCCATTAGTTTTCAAATTTGAAAATACTTTTTT